TAAAGTACCTTAAACGTCAAAGCCATAAACGCACTAAATGCTTGCATACCTATAGTAAATCTAATATTTAGTTTTATTCAAACAAGAAGGATTTGTTTCAGGAGCTTGGGATGTTCTGTCGATATAAATTTCGACCAATTTTTTTAAGAACGTGAAACCTTCTCGTTAGTCCCAATTGTCTTTTTTAAAAATTTAAAACCTCGAGGGCGTCAAATGTTTTTTTTTAGAATGTGAAACCTTCTCGGGGGTCCCAACTGTCTTTTTTAAAAATGTAAAACAAGAATGTGAAACCTTCTCGAGAGTCCCAAGTGTCTTTTTTTAAGAATATTAAATCTTCTCGGGGTTCGCAACTGTCTTTTTTTAAGAAGGCGAAACCTTCTTTTTTTCTATTTATTACTAGTGTTGGGTTGTGAAGGAACAGTCTGCTACTTTGTCACTGTTCCTCACATGTCACCGTTCCTCGTGGTGACACACGTTTAAAAGTAGCAGTTACTCTGAGGAACAGTCACTTGTATTACAACGGAGTCGAATCACAGAAATACGTGGACCTAACCTACTGGAACTGTATATATGCAATTCAGTGACGGCTTGGAACCATTGCAGACATTTGATATCACATGTGGATGGTATTCGACACTTTCAGTACGTGCTTTATTATATATATTACATATCAGAAAAAATAGTCAATGTCCGCTAATCTACCACTATCCAAGTCAAGTATGTCATCAAATTAAATTATGCAAATGAAAAACATTTTTAAACAACGTTTTTGGTTTTCGTTTGGTTGTATTTTTAACAAATATAAAAAGTGCTGTGGAAAAAATACTTTATACCAAAATGAAATACCTTACTTTTTGTGTTGATTATAGAAATGTAAAAAATAATGTGTATAAAATACTTTCTTTACTTAACTAAAACGGATTTATACATTAAAACTCTGCCTCAAGTCTTAATACATAAAGGTTTCGTGCTGTTGTTATTCCCAGTACGTTTGGAACAGTAGGACTGAGCGCAGTTGGTCGAAGAACAGTGACAGAAAGTAGCTGCTATTTGTAACTGTTACTGTGGTGTCACAGGAACAGTCAGTCACTGTTCCAGAGAAGTAGCAGTTTTTCCCATCACTATTTATTACACTGTGACTAGCATTTTCTATAGTGTTCTTAGTCCATAGAGATTATCACAAAAAAGTAAAATTCTCCAAAATCAAATTTTATAATTTTTCAGAGAAGCAGTATTTCTTGGACTGTATAGTTTTGGAAATTTCATTGTACCCTATAAAATTTTATTGGCAATAACGAGACGGACAGTAGGACAATAGCAAGAGATATTTACAACTTAGGTTGTCGCGTGCCAGTAATCTCCAGATGTTAGAAAGCAGAATAATCCAGGTCCGGACAGGGACCATCGTTAGTCATGAACGGATATGACCATTATTTTATGAGTACAACTACCAAGTAAATGTTCTCAGACAAATTCGAGTGAACTGGTGTGAGCCATAAATACTTATTTCTTACCATTGCACTCCTGTCCGTCTCGTTATCGTCAATAAAATTTTATAGGGTAGAATGAAATTTCCAACACTATGCTTCAGAAGCGATGGAAGTTCTATCGAAATAACTTTCGATCATTTTTTTTTAATAACTTTGCTACAGCAAAATTTTAATCAAAACCAATTTGTTGAATATGTCATAAGCTCATTTGTGGCATAGTGAAATATTAAACAAATTTTCCTAACAACATTTCTGAGACAAGTAAAAAAGTTTTTTGACAAGAGCTGTATTACTCACAGTAATAATTTTGAAAACTTCCTATTGTTGCTGTTAAAGAAATTATATCATTAATTTTATTCAGGTAAGTTTTATTTTTCATTACCTACTGGTAATAATTTATATCTCTCTGTAATATTTGTATAATTAAATTTTATACCTACCTGAAAATTAAATAGCATTGAATTCAAAACAATACTTAACAAACATTTATTTATTCACCCCCTCTAGAAATTTTATGACTTCATTTCAAACAATTGGTTGTTTATGACATGACAAAGCAGAAATAATTTATCATATTTATTTTACCGCCTATTTAGTTTTCAATGGTAAAACTTAGGTATACTTCGCAGATTAATTTAGAATTTTATATGTTTGTTTTGGTCACTATCTCCTGAGAACTTGCTAAATATTCAAATAATTTGCCAGATGTCTTGGTTTACCTGTTCTACCCTAATATCTCAGTTATTTGACAAGAGAGAAGTTTGAAATTTGATGTAATTAATTCATATAAAAAACTGTAACATGGCTAACTATTATATATATTACATCAATTTTTTTAGTTCAGATAGCGTAGTGCATGTTTTCAACTTTTGCATTTTATCAGTGATTAACATTTTTGTGAATATCACTGAAAAGAGAGAAAAAGACACTTTTTGAAATGCTTAGAAGTACACACTCCATTCCGCTAAAAACATTAATGACAACACATTTTTGTCATTTCTCGAAATTTCGGTACCAATTATTCTTCAGTGCACCCACTGTACAGTTTTTGTGTTAGCAGATGTTCCAATTATTTTTTACACTGGGATGCCGCAATTTGAACATTTTTTACAGTAAAATTTATAGCAAAACAATAGATCATTTAAAATATAAAAAAGGTTGTTTTTGCGCTGCCATAGTTGTAATTGACATTTTAGGTTGACACGTGGCGTGTCGCAATGGCAATGAAAAAGGCTCTAGTGTTGCAAAATGCAAACGAGGTATTTAAGCTTTGAAAAAATAAATTGATTATCAAAGCAATTATCTACTACTAATTGATAATCGTGCCTCTAAAGTTATTATAACAAAAAGTGCAATTTAAGCTGTAATCTTACATAGAGGCATTTGTTGACCAAAATTTGGATTGGTAGTAATTTGACAGTTGACACTACTCGGAGGTTTACGTTGTTGACAGTATTTGATGTATTTGGTGATAAATTCAGTAACAACATAATTTCGGTTCAGTAATATTTATTCTTTTAGCGATTGAAAAATATTATTTTTTCAAAAAGGCAGCGCAAAAAATATTGTATAATATTCGTGTGAAAACTTCATTGCATTACAGACTCGACTGCGTCTCGCGTCGTATTCCCGTTCGTAAAGCGATGGACCGTTTTCAACACTTGTAACATAAAAGACTATTTTAAAATTTTACAATATTTTTTTTGTTATCTAAATTAAATTCGTTATAAAAAAGAAAAACAAAAAAATTACAATCGTCAAATGTGGATATTTGAGTGCTTTCAAATAGAACAGTCTGTATTTTATTATTGCATCTTACTCTGATCTTTATTTTCTTTCTTTTCTGGTTAAGTATTTTTACTCTCCAAAGTTAATTGTTTTTCGTAAATTCTCCCTTTTTTAAGAGATAAACCGATATATCAAAAGAAAGAGACCACCAAATATAGTAAGATGAAGTAACAAGATACAGGATATTCCATTTGAAAAAACTGAAATATCGATATTTGAAAATTGTAGAATTTTGTAAAATCACTCGGTATATTTACCTAGAGAATATAATTTGATACCACAACAAAGTACGTAGGTAGGTATTTACCTCATCGTCGAACTTTTTAACACAAATTTTAAAAATAATTTAAAAATTTTAGGGAAATTGAAACATCGTGGCAACCTCGCATCAATTTAAAATTTTTTTATTTTATTGTTATAAAGACTACGGCGAGCATACACACAGTATGTAAAAACATATAGCATATTCTATAAAAAAAAGTCAGTTGTATGATGCCCCAGTGCACTCTTTATAACTATAGTTGAAAATAATTTTAATCTATAGAACCATGTAACTTTGATCTTTAACTCTCTAATAATAATTAATCAGATATCGAACAGAGCGCGCGTAGTGACTCACCCTGTATGACCAAAAAATTAGTAATGTCATCTTAAAAAAAATATGTATTGTAAAATATGGTAAGTATCTTAGATTACTTACCAAAGGTTTTTTAGGTAGGTATGAACAAATAAATAAGCAAAGTTTATGCGCTGAACAAATATAATAAAATAGGTATCTACGGAAAAATAATTTTCTGAAGTTGACAAAAATAAATGTCAGATTAAAAAACTGAAGTTAAAATGCTACGCATATTTATGACATAAATATAAGCATTAACGAAGAGTCATTTCTCTCTAAGTTCCAGTTCAATACAATTTTAACTTTGACTACTGTCCAACTATTTTTTCTTTGTAACTTGTAATTTTTTTTGAAAGTAAAATATTCCTTCAATCTAGTTTTTTCTTTCAAACCACGTCAGACATTATTCTCTGTGGTCCTCTAGATGTGTTAGTTCTTCAAATATTATTAGAAGCATTTTAATAAAAAAAAGATAGAGTTAATTGTTGTTCAAAAAACGTATTAAGATAAGATTAGTAGTATTTAATAAGTGCTATTCCGTTTTACATCATCACTCGGTGTAAGCGAAGCCAAACCGAAATATTTGTAGATTCACACTTCGTGAGAAGTAAAAACATCAGCGGTCGGTTTAAAATTTTCTTTCATTATTCGTGGTATAAAAATAACAATACGAAATTTGCGATCTTTTGCAATGGTTATCTAATGCTTAATTGTGTTATTATTATTACATATATGAACAGTAAAAACTTTAAGTAACACCGGCAGAAGACATTTTCTGGTTTCGTACATCAGCAACATGGGTGACAAGTTTAACGAATATATTAAATTGTCATTAGTATGTTAGAATTTGGAAATAATGAGGCACCCATCTTGCTCCACCTTCCCCTACAATATTTTGCATCTATAAATAGTATGTGTTTATGCTGATTATGCATGGATCGTTGTTTATTTAAAAGTGTGTAAAACAGTATTTTGAAAACTGGAAAATCTTAACAATTTTAATCTAAGTTTAAAAAGTAATTTCCATTACCATAGCTAAAAATAACTTGGATATAATTTATTCGAAAGTCAATCACTGTGTATATTTTTTACCAAAAACTCACCTGTTGGTTTAGGTACGTTCCGTTTGACTTGCATCCACTTATACGTCGGTAACACTGGCTGAGGTTGAGGAACCGAACTCAAGTTGTGCATGACGTGCTGTCGCATCCTCCCATCACCCTGCATCCCATCGTCCTTATACCTATGCAAATGCTGAAATTCCATGCACGAAGAACTCGTCTGTGCATTAGCAACAATATGCGAGTGATAATTGGCATCAACCTCAAGTTGATACTTGTTCTCGTGAAGAAAATGGTGCTGTTGATGGCCGTCGCTAACTTCCTCGTGGTGTCTGATCAACATGTTATCATGGGTCCTCTGATGGTAAGCGTCGTTGTAGCTGTTCTGATTGATCGATGGATACATCGGGTTCCCATTAGACCCACCGTAGTCCAGGTTGGTGTAGCTCAACCCCGTCTCCGTGTTGATAATGGGGTTGTCTTGGGGGATGGGCTGGTGGTGGTAGTACAAAGTACCGTCTTGGGGCGAAGGAGGAGTCTCTTCGGTGGAGTAGAGATAAGGCTCTTCGTAGTGGTAGTTGGAGTAGTGCGGGAGCTGGGGGGCGTTGGAGGAAATGTCACTCGAGTAGTTGTAGTAGTTCGTGTCCGAAGGGTTGTAAGCCCCATGTTGACTGTGATGGCCGTACATACCAATGTCCATCATCATCATTTCGCACATCAAGTGTCCACTGCACAGAAACACGTCACATGGCAAGACCGCTTGCACGGGCCACTCGATTGTTTATGCTGGCAGAGGAGAGCAGCCTACTGCGATGTGTGTCAAGGGGCGGGGCCAGCGCGCGCTACCGGCGCTGGACCAATCGGGGAGCGGCCCCACGGAGATGATTTGATGCTGCGTGAGGGATTGGTCTGGATCCAGCCATCATTGTGCTCCTTTATGTTGGAACATTTCAATCCCGGTGAATGTTACAAGTGTCAGCTACTGTGTGTGACATGACAGCTCTCCTTGTATTGTTCGCATGTGGCGTTCCTAATGGGCTGCGGCGCAGATAGTTATCGACTTATTCATATGCATATTGCTATTTACAACTTGCTGAGAAATCTGATAGGACCTAATCTACCCACCTAACTTTCAAATTTATTGATGTGTTGGCTGGTGTGGTATTAGGTTCGGTGGTGGCGAATTTTAGTTGAGGTATGACACGACTTATGTGAAGCGGAAATTTTGCTTTGCGGTGGCTTTTGCGCTATGCTATTTTTGGTTTTAAGAGCTCCAATGGGGGCTTCAAATAAACATATCTTGATAAGCTTTATAAGTTTATAAATATGAAAAAACTGAAATTTATGGTGATCGATAAATTTGCAAGTTAACAATGCGGGGCTTGTCCTAAAATTGCGTTCGAAGAAAAGAGACTGGAGAGTTCAATTAGAGGGTTCAAACAAACGTTCTCGATACAAATTCTGCAAGTTTGTATGTAAATAAGGAAAAAATTGAAATTTATAACAATCGATCAATTTAGAAGTTAACAATGTACCTACCTAAAGCTTGTCCTAATAGAATTGCGTCCAGTGAAAGTATTTTTTTTTTCAGTCTGATTAACTTTTCCAGAAAAGATAACATTTGTGCAGATACACATAATTTTTCGATAAAGTTTATCGTTCCATATTTAGGGATCGGCCGTTATTTTATTAACAATACTTAAATAAAAGTTGTGCGTCATTTTCAAGAACGAGCTTTAATGAAAATAATAGATATTATTTTTTAAATTACACTAGTCGAAGAATTTAATTTTTAAAAGTGGCATCTACGAGTTAATTTAAATGATTTAAAAGAATTTTATAGATAGGTACTTATTACTCCCTATATTTATTTAAAACACTAAAAAATATATTTTGCAGACTACAAGCCATTATTCCTTACCAAGTAGGTAAACGTGACCGGTGGGGAAACTGTGATGTAAAAAAAATACGTCGTCTAGTAAGCTATAGAATTAATTGTTTAAAAAACTGTAGTGACAGTAGGTAGGTACTGTTGTTATCCATTGAAGTTACCTATCAGTTTGATATTTGTCTTCCCACGCTAATAAACAAAATGACACAGAACATAAAATTTTTATTATCCGAAGTTATTACCGAAATGGAGTCAAGCAAACAAACGGTGAATCTCGGTCTTAGATGGATGCATAGAAGAATTTCGTAAACAATTTCCCATAATCTCACAAATGAACAACTGTAACAATACGGTTTCTCCAAACACAATGTTTTTCTGATTAGTTCCATGGCTGAGTAGGCGGCTTTTTTTACGATCATATGGTACAAGGGGAATTTTTTTCAGAAATCAATATTTTTATGTTTTAATTTTAAAATCTAAAAAAACTTTTTAACATGAAATATTACTTATAAGTATTTCATTTTATATTTTTTCGAACTTAAATATAGCTATTATGCGGTTTTTTGAATTTTTATGTTTTAAGTAGGTATACTAAGTAGGTACTTAATATGATCAATCAAATTTATGAGTCGCCTTCCCGTTAACATTGTAATAAATATTATTCCACTTTTTTACTTTTTTCTATTTTCAACGAAGCAACCGTTTAAAAAAAGACTCATTTAGTAGGTAAAGCAACCCGTACATAACTGCTGAGCACGTTCTAAAACATGTCAAATGAATAAAAATTCTTGCTTTGCTTGATACAACTGATTCTGTAGTTAAAAATACTAAACAACAAAAATTAAGTTCTTTAATTAAATTATCGGGATAAAAATTGACTTATTATAAAAAGATCTGCATTATTTAAAAGTTTTTGTATGTAAAATATTTGCTTTAACCCAAACCAAAATATTTATTCCTTTATTTTTTTTCTGTAAAATAAAAAACACAAAAAAATCCTCTTGTAAACTCAATCCGGTAACATACCGTATCTTTTAACTTGAATAAAATAAAAAGTCAAAGAAATTGGTTCAATTTGTAACAATTTTACAAACAACAAATGCAACAATTAAATTCTATGTACTTATTATATACGTAGGCACGTGTGTATGTAATATCCTACCGGTTTTGACACATCAATAATTCGTGTAATAGGAAGTGGTGACAAAATTTTATAATTTGAAAATTTTTAATTAGATTGTTAAGAATAGGAGTTTTTTTTTTTGTAAAACATGGAGAAAAAATGGCGGATCAGTGTTAAACTAATTGTTTAAACCAATAAATATTTATTTGAGAAAACCGGTTCCAGTTCTAAAACATTTCTAATAGTCAAAATCAGAAACTGATTGTTACAGAAAAATGACTAAGTAAGTATATCTATATTAGTGATTGTGGAAAAACCACTACCTACTTGTGGTTCTATACCTACATAAAAAAATTATAATGTATGTGTGTATAATGGCAGTAACACATAATTAGGGTAAATGTGTACAAGAGTGCGCATATGTATAAGAGTACGCACTGATGATTTCTGCTTATTAGTGCCATCTGGGTAAGATGAAGTTATACCATTCAGAATTTAATGTTAAACCTGAGATAAAGGTGCAAAAGTGACCTGAATATAGTTTATAGTTTGGTCGTACTAACGATTTTATGTTCACACGTTGTGTGGATGTAATTTTTACCGCTCATAGTTTTAGTTTTTTGTAAGGTACGTACCAGTTCTTTTATTTTACAGTAATAATTTTCATTAGTTGTAACTTTTAAGGTGTCGTTATACACTAACAGTTTTACACTTTCTGTCCATCAAAAGCTTTTAACTTTGAAAACATTAGGTTGTGTACAAATGTACAAGAGTGCGCAGCGAGGTATTGTATAAGCGTGCGCATTGCTTGCAATACGTAGTCTAATAGTCTTGGAGATACATATCATACGGTAATGAATTATTTAACTCTACTACTTTGTACTGCTTCTCGAGTTGTGGGGTGGTGGTTATGGTGATTTTTTTTTTATTTTTACTTCCTGAGCGTGTTGTAATCGAGTCCGTCGACCGACTCTCTATTTTTACGTTTTCTCGTCTTTTCAAGACCCCTAGAGTACGAAGAAATAGGTCTCCCGTTTTATGTGTAGTCTGTAGTCACTTATTCCCATTTATTTTCACCTTAGAAACAAATATTTTTTCATAAAATGTAATGCGTACTCATAAGCGTTCAAATGCGCACTCTTGTGCAATGAACTGTCTAACAGTGCGCATTTACACATCTTGACAAAAATTGAAATTACTCTTAAAATATAGTGGTGTTGGGGCGTACAATTAAATATATCTGATCCCTAAACATGTATATAACGAACCCATATCATAAAATTTGCCTATCCAAAAAAATTAAAAAGTTGTTGACAGTTTTACACTAAGTGCGTACTCTTGTACACATTTACCCTAATACTGGGGTAAATTGCTTTGCTATTTATACCTAGGTATCGGTAAGCAAGAGATCTGATTCCAGACCGTTTTTACACCTATGTGTTTACAGTTTGTAGGTTAATGTTTTAACTGTTTAATGATGGTAGCATAATAATTAATATCGCAAGCTAGTTACTGGTTTCAGGGACAAGTAAGTATAATTGTTTACCACAAGACTGTTTATGCCTTAATGTTCCGATCCTTTAATGGCGGTTATTTTAATTAGTATGAGCAGCTACGGATATCGGCGAACAAGTGAATTTGTTTACAGTAGCCGATTACTTTTTATTGAGTAGTTACTACATATGAATAATTTACAGCCACTACTTCTAAGGCGACACTTAAAATTTGGTGTTTTTAAAATTGTAACGAATTCGTTCGACTCCGTGCAATAAAAATTTTGAATAGGAAACTTTTTTTTTGAAAATTTACATAAATTTCTGTAGGAGGTATCCTATCACCTTGTATGTGAAAATAATCAACCTGTTTTAAATAATTCCTTTGCACAGAAAAATTAATGAATCTAATTTAAATTAAATTTCGACACAATTTTTAACCTGTGGAGAAAAAATTGCTTTCTATACCGAAGATTCTCTTATTTTTTGCATTTTAAATTCAAAAACAAAAACATTTTGTAAATTTTCAACGACCTTTGTTAACCGACGGTTTAACTAGCAACAATAACGTATGGCATTATATTTTTTTATTTTATTTTTTTATTTTATTTTATTGGTTAACGTTACCCAACAGGCCGGAGGCCCAATTACAGGGTAACGGGGGACATACACAACACCCAGAGCAGGGCGGGAATCGAACCCACGACCCAAGGTGTGGCAGGCAAGCGCGATGCTACCTAACCCACCCGGGCTATTGTAATAGGTACAGAATAAATTTATAGAAAATGCGAGTATTTTACGAAATTTAACATTTTTAGCACACTTTCTGAGCATTCATTCCGATTGTACCTATATTTTTACTTGACAATATTTATAACTGTGTTTTGTATTTATATCCCGCTTACATTGATATTAGGTATATGATGGGTATTGTCTTGAAGATGTTCGTAGGTACTGCACTGAGTAAGTTGTGAAAAAACATGGTTCTCGCTAGGGAGATGAAGATCGTTAATTGAACATTTTTCTCGTAAATTAATTTTATAAGTAGGTATAGGATACTGATTTTAAGAAATACTTACCTACATTTGAACTTTTTTCTAATTTTTAATAAAACTTTGCACACGTACAGGTGAATAATAGTTCCATTTGTGTGTGTTTATCCATGGTACACTGAGCATAATTAATGAATTTTATAACCTCTTTATGTAATTTCTACAGAGTTCCAAAATTGCTGCAAGATCAAACTTTTTGGGCGCTCATAGAATC